TATTCCATCTGTTTTGAAGCCCTACGGCCATTTATATGATATTTATCCTAAAACTTGGTTTTATGTAGTTTATAATTTCATATTTTCTGTGATGAGTTGCTGTTTTTGTTTTTTTGTGTTTGTTTTTTTTTTTGAAAATGGGTTGCTAGTTTTTAGTTTTAGGTTTTATTATTATTTGTTTGGGTGTCTGCCTCTATCTCCTTTGTCAACCTTAAAGTGTGCAATCATGGAAGCCGAGCACCATATATGAGAACCAGTTTTACCTTTATTTTACAAATGTGGTTCAGTTTTTTGATTTGCTGCCTCATTGACTCCATGATGATCCTTCACAAATGTGGTGGAAGAGGACCGAGGTGCATACTGTCAAGCAAGGTAAAATCTTCATATTGTATTTTTTTTAAAGGGTGAAATCCTCCATATTGCAGCCTATATAATGACCACTCGGATGAGAAGATTTGCATGCATAACACATTAATACTCCTTGCAGAGCAGAAACCTTTCCAAAATTCATTCTTGATACATACTTGTAAGCCAAACTCGCATCTACACAATAGAAAAACTATAATAATTAGTTTAGTGAGAAAATGTGAGGACATCTGACGGAGGACATCTAACTATAGCAATGGCTGCCTATTCATGATGAGGTAAACATACCTTATTTATTATCTTTTTAATTGTAAGCTGTATTATTTGTGAAAAATTTCTATAAAATGTTTTTATTTTATTTTATTCTATTAGGGTACATACATTTTTCGAAGGATAGATACAGTGAATGGAGTGGAGTGATTTTGGAATTGAACTCAAGTAGGATCAAAACAGTTTGAAGTAATTCTTTTAATGTAAAGGAAGCAGGTAATTCAATAGGTTGGAAAGAAACGCATTTACATAAAAAATTATATATTAAACAAACATTTTATTTTATAAATCAGTTTATTGTTTACTGAAATAAAAAAAATTAGGTTATTGGTTTAAAAAAATGAGATTAATCTACTTTTTATACTTACAATTTTATTGAAAACGAAAAAACTTAAATATTTATGATTTATTACAATTTGATTGTTCATTCTAATACACAGTTTTGAGAGAAATAGTTATTAGATCAGTTACTGAATTTTTGTTTTTAAAAATTTAAATCAGTCTTTAAATTAAAAGACTGTGCAAGCACAATACTTGCGCAGAGATGGAAAAATTTAAACAAATAATTATGAAACTGATATAAAGTAATTAGAAAAATAATGTATTTTTTATCTTCGTTGAAAACAAAAAAGTTAACTCGAAGAATTTTATCTCACTGAATATTTTTTTAATTCTATTACATATTTGGTGGAGTTTGTAAAGTAATCTGTAAAATATAACAAATAATATGAAACTGATATAAAGTAATTAGAAAAATTATGTATTTTTTATTTTCATTGAAAACAAAAAAGTTAACTTGAAGAATTTTATCTCATCGAATATTTTTGTAATTGTATTATAGATTTGGTCGCGTTTGTAAAGTAATCTGTAAAATAAAACAGAACATATTTCAAAAGTGATTCTGATTATGGTAATTGATTTCACGAGTACTTGATTTTGTTAAAGATATAAAAAAAAAATGTCTAATTGAGGTAGAACTATGACCAAAACAAAGTGAGTAAACACAGATTCTGTAAAATGATGATCTAAATTGCAGATTAAATATAAAAACATAAGAAATGGAGAAATTGACTTAGCTTTTTGTATGTTCGAATTTTTTGGAGTTGTTTATTTATGTTTAGTCATAGCGTCTAATCTAACACCGGAGAATTCAATAGAATGGAAGATGATAGGAGAATATTAAAAAGAATCGCAACAAATCGGAAGAAAAAGGGAGGGATCAGAAAGAATCGTACTGAAGAAGATGTGTCGCCCCGTCGCGATCTGCAGAGGGGAATGCAATGACACTCAAATGGGTTAAAAGTCTTGATATGTGATGATAATGAGAATTTTGTAATTACGACTAAAAATGGTGTATATTCAGAAATCTTTAATAATTTGTATTTTTTGAAAAATAATAATTTGTACTTTCTTTATCGTTTTGATAATATTATTCATCTAGCTAATTTATTTTAATTTCGAATATTTTCAGTTGTATTTCTATAATTAGACTTATATTATATTAGTTTTATATTATGTCCTAATACAATTTATATTAATTAATTTTTGAAACTCTTCATTATTCAATGTGTATTGTTATTTGTATTACCAATGTATGTTAATAGCCGTGATTAATAGTGATGGACTGATGGAAGAATCCCTAGGCTGCATCATTTAATTATACTACCTGACTGTTCAGTCTCCAATAACAACCAATTAATGTATTTTCTTCAAATAGGATTTGAACTAAATATACAGACTGAAATCATTATAAATACATGTAAAGAGAATACTTTCAGGGTTTTGACTTGGTTTCATATTACAGTTGGGCAGAAAGTATGATGTAATGGGTAAGTGTATTTAATTTGGATTATATATATATATATATATATATATATATATATATATATATATATATATATATATATATATATATATATATATATATATATATATATATACACGCACAAAATATTGATGTTACTCATTTAAAAAATAGATTTTGATACAAAATATGTTATATTTAAAGTTTAATCTGTTGAATATATTATATTTAACTGCATTAGAAAGATAATAGTGGTACTGGGTATTAATTGTATAGTATTAGCATGTATATCGCTTTATGTTTTTTTTTGTTTGTTTAAGTATTCTTTGTGTTTGTTATAACAATTGGGTTAATGATTTCTTTACTTTTTTTTTTTTTTTTTTTTTTTTTTTACTTTTTATACTCTAAACAAGTTAAATTATTTATGATCTACATTAATTTATTTAATTTCAAGTCATTTTTGAGAATTTAAAAATAAAAAATGAAATAATATAATTTTTTGAATGCTACTAGCATCTATTACATTGTAGTATCTGTTCATATACTTTCTCAACCTACTAAAACACAAAGAACTAATAACACCTCCATTGAGGCTCGAACTTACAACCTTCCAAATGAAAGTTCAACCCGGGTACCATTAGACCACATAGTCCTGGTGATGAAATAATATAATAAACCAACTATTACAGTATTACTTTAACCAACCATTTGATTGATTTCTGCATTATTTGTATGAAAAAAAAATATTGTTATACATCTTTTTTACATTGAAAAAAATAATATAAGCAAGTTATATTGCATACGTTATATTATTTTTGAACTTTATATCCATAATTATGAATAGTTTTAGAAACGGTCCCAATATTTTACTTCTTACATATTATGCATTTTTGGGCTCAGAAAATGAAAATATCCAAGGACAGTCAATTTATTTGCATGAGCATATGGTTATCGGTAATCGCATCAATTCTCAAAATGATGACATGCCAATTCAAGGTGTACAATTGAACACTCTGACAAGCAATGAGTATCCAAATGGTCTCAAAATTTTTAACATGTGGCGACTCTACTTTTTGTTTGAACACTACACAAAATGTAATTTACAAATAAATTTTCAATAATTTGTAATACTTTTGAATTTTCAATATCATAACCTATTTTTAATAGTATTCTGTATTTATGTAATACTAATTTTACATCTTACAATGCATTCGGTTTTCAAAAAATATTTATACTTCAATTATAATAAGACTAAGAATATACATCTTACAATATTTCTAATTTTTAGTCCGTGCATCGCACGGGTGAAATACTAGTTAAGCCAAATACTCTAAGCTCAAAACGACACAGTTTCGCTTAGGCGGGAAATGATGTGGCAAAAAAGTTTTTGCTATTATATAGAGTAAGATAAGATAAGATAAGATTATATACAATGTTACGTGGACATAACAAAAAGTATATTTTTAATATAGTAAATATACATTATTTATGTACTGAATGTACATTATACAATATAATGTACACTCAGAACAAAAGTAATGTACATTCCTGTTGGTTTTTGGGTTTTCGGGCCCAATGAGGTCCAACACAACCTTTGGCTGGAGGATACACCTTTCATAATAAGGCTACTAAAATAGAAGAAATATGACTCGATGATTTTTACATGGAAACCGAAAGGTGAAAACCACGGGCCTTTTTGGGCGGTGCCAAGCCTAATTCCACTATGTATTTTGTAGGTGTCTTTGTACATGTTGTATGGCTATTTTGTATATAGAGATGGAGTATGCTTCTTTTGGTAGAATGGAGTCTTCTTGATAACCTTCTTGTTGTGTATGTGAAATTGCCTTCTCTTGGGAGAGTGGTGTAGTATTCTATGAGAGAAAGGATGGTGAGTGGGAGGATAATATTTGGGAGAGTCCTCCCATGTGTGTAGGTGAATGAGTGGATGATCCCACTTTCTTCTTGTCTTCGTGAATGAGTGGATGATCCCCCCTTTTCTTCTTGTCTTCTCCTTTTATAGCTAGCCCATCCCCAAAAGTGTCCGTTGGACCATTTAGTAGGGTAGTTAATAGGTATTAACTTGGTTATTAGTGGGGTAATAAGTGGGAGACTTAATAGGTAGCCTTTATTTGGGGGGTTATGGATGAGGTAGATAAATAGGACTTTTAAGGGTAGATAATTAGGAATAACGGCTAGTTAGTCCGACCCTCTACCCGTGCCGACCTCCTGGTCGAGCCGACTTCTCGGTTTGGCTCGTATCTCTTTTGGGCTTGCTCCATTTTCTTCTTGGGCTTCCCTTCTTTGTCTGGGCTTTATCTCTTTTCTTCTTGGGCCCCGAGCCCACGGGGTTCACACCCCATCAATCCCCTGAATACATTGTACATTATTTTTGTACTGAATATACATTAGTTTTGTACTGAATGTACATTATTTTACAGTAGACAAAATATGGTCCATACAACTTGTATAGACCATGGTCCACATAATAATGATTGGTTCTCAACTCAGCAGATCAGATCTATGCCAAATTTGTCTACCCAAAAAAAAAAAAAAAAATCTATGCCACATTTTGAAGTGTACCAATTTGCTTACAGTGGAAATGGTAGAAACAAGTATTGTTGGTGAGCCATTTAGGATTACCCAGAAACTAAACATCTGTCTTGCATTGGCTTCTTTAGTCTCATACTTTCTAGCCAGAGAAAATATCTGGGCTGACCTGGAATCTCCACAGGAACAACATCACCACATGGATTAGCATGTTTTGATACAGTTTCAAACCTTGATTCTCCTGTATTCACTTGCTGCTCCTCGACGTACCAAATTTTGATCCCCAGCTCCTTGAATCTTAGCGCTCCAACTACTTGCACCAAAACCATCAAGAAATCTCCACTTTGCAACTGATTCCCCAAATTCCAATGACTTAAACACATCATACCTTCCTTACCATTTGGAATTCCAAAATACGGTGTCTGCAGCCTCCAGCTAACGAGCTTGGTCTTGTTATCAATTTGAATGGATGGACCAATCACAGTAAATTCAGCTTCTTTATCATCTGAGCACAAATACACCACACAGAAACTCAAACCTTGGATCCTGTAGTTGTCAATTGCAGGCAATGTAAAAGAAGATTTCCGACTCGTAAAGGTGAACTTAGAGTTGAACCAGCTAGGAATGCAATCACCAGGAAGAAAAGTCGTGAAGATGCCCGGTTGATATAATATCTGAAAAAGATAAAGAGTCATACAGACATAACATAATTAGAAAGCAGATACACTAGAAATATAGAGTTGTAGGTACACAGAAACAAAGATTGGGTGGGAAGTACACCTGAGGAGAAAGTTTCAAACATGGCAATTTAGCCAAGTATCTGGATCTTATCTTGACCATAATATTTCTAATAGTTGCCAAATTTGACAACCCTAGAATGCCACATATATCGGTATTGACATTTTCTAGAGGTTCCAGTTTGAAATAGCCTTCTATTTCAGCTAATATCTTACAGCCTCGACAGAACATGCGAAAACCTTCTTCCAGTTCTGCTTGGTAAGATATTTTTTCCAATGACATACAATCATCTGCATTCAACCTTTTTGATATATGAGGCAACCCGATGAGTGACTTGAGCCTTGGGCACGAGGTAAACTTAAGATTTCGCAGCCCTCTAAGGCATCTGATGCTTTCTGGAAGACTGCAAACTAGATTATTGCTCAGGTCCAAGCTCTCCAGCATGGAGAGGTTACTGAAAGCAATTGGAAACTTATCATCAGATAGATTGCATTTTGCAAGACTTAAATGCACTAAAGAACCGGGCAAATCAATGTGAGAAATTTTAGGACATATGTTCCGCTTTCCAACTAAGGACCATAAAAATGAATATGGTGAGTGCCATGGATGGACTCCCGACCTAGAGACAACTTGATTCATTGCAATTCCATCTGCATGCAGCACTTTCAGCGAATCAATTTTTTCTAAGTTGGTTGGCCAGTCAAGATTAGAGCAACCAGAAATAACAAGAGTTTCAAGACATTTTAGTGAGCACATGCTCTCTGGAAGCCTTCTCAAATTTTTGCAGCCTTTCACATTCAAAAGAACAAGTCCTTTCAGGCATCCGATTGTTTCATGAATCTCGATTAAACTTGTAGAGTATTTAAGTATCAGCTTTTCAAGACTGGGGACTCCCAAAAAATTTGGTGTTCTTGTGAGCTTATAGGAGTGGCTGAGATCCAGAATCTTTAGAAATCTGAGAAACTAAGGCATCAAAGAAAGAAAAGAAAACATAGTAAGATGTCACTTAATGAAGTTGTCAAGTACTTGAGGTAATGTGTCAGAGGCATATATTATACCCTGGATCCTTTCCAAACTTGTTTGAAGCTGTTGTAGCGCAGATCCAGTGCAATAAGGCTTTCCAGTGGAAAATCACTTGGTATTGATTCCAACTCCAGTCCATGCCAACACAACCATCTCAATCTTTTAGGAAACTGTTCATAGCTTCCAATTAATTTAGCAGAGTTGATTTGAAGAAATTTTAATCTTTGCATTTTTAAGAAAGCATCACTTGTGAAGATTAGCACATTTGAAGCTTCTGCACAATCCCTTGAATGCCAAAAGAAGCCATACTGACTTTTCTTTGACAAATGTTCTTCAGATTTCCCTAGAAACTCTGCAAGTTTGCGTTTTTTGCCATAATTCATATTGATGGTTTCTTTGGCTGATTCATTTGCCTCGAGCATTTGCATTTCAAGTTTGATTCCTTCAACCCTTTCAGTGCCCTTAAAAAGAAAACATATTAGATTGTTGAAGATAGACTGGGCACACATTTAAAAGAAAAAAACAGAGATTGAAGAATGCTCTCCTTACGGTTTTCTCTGTTAACACATAAAATGAATCCTTAGGATGCCAAATATGACTGCGCTTTCCAGGCTCTTTTGGTGATTCTTGACGAACAATTTCCCTTCCCATATCTTGAACCAATTGATGCATGCTAAGTTTGTTATGCTCACCAATCGCCAACAGATTTCTCTCGATAAGATTTTGGACCCCAATTCCCCCATGAAGGTCACAACTATCTAGTACTGCAATTGCAAAATCTCTATCTTTTCCAACAAAAAAACAGGCAAGATGAAGGAATATATTTCTATCATCATCATCTTGTAAAGAGTCATAACTTAGTCTTAGTTTATCAAGGATTCTATTATTAGGAATGGCTTCCAATTTTTTAATAGTACTTTCCCACACATCAAGATGTTTCCCCGCAAGAGAAGATCCCAAAATTTCAAGAGCCAATGGCAGTCCATCACATCGTTCCACCACCTTCATTGAATAATCTACATATTCATCGATAGGGTGAGCTTGACCAAACGTATGCCAACAAAAGAGCTCAAGAGATTCATCTACAAGCATACTTTCAACTTTGTATACCTTACAAGTCTCATGACTTAATAAACGTTCTTTCCTTGTAGTCACAATGATTTTACTCCCTGGATAAAACCAATCTCTTATTCCAAATAAATCCTTTAACTGCTCTGGTTGATCCACATCGTCTAGTACCAGGAGGATTTTTTTACTACTTATGGCAGCTCTGATTCTCCTTATCCCTTCATCAACGCTGGATATTTGTTCTTCTTTCCTCTTAAAAATGTCAGAAAGAAGATTTCTCTGCAGCATAACCATACCATTCTGTTTCTTTGAAACTTCTCCAACATTTGCCAGGAAGCTACTTCCTTCAAACTTATCACAGTTTGTAATATACACGAATCTGGAAATGGTTGTCTTCCCTATCCCACCCATTCCACACATCACAAGTATGTCAACATCATTCGATCCATCTTGTACCCACAAATTGATATCATCAGCACGACTACGGATTCCAATCAGGTAAGGGGCAATGCTGTGAACAGTTCTATTCACTTTATCCGTAATCACTTTAAGGATTTTTTGAATAAATTTTGATTCATTCCTGAAATCATAAAAATTAGAATTCTTTATAATCAAAACTGATAGGAAAGTTAGGTCATTAGGGATTGGAGGAAACAATAGTTACATCAACCTCTGAGCTTACAGCTAGAGCCTTGACCACTAAACCGAAACTTGAAATCCAGGGCACATTTTAGGTTTGTTTCTCTAGTCTTCCTGGATAGTATGAGAACTACAAAGATAATCAAACTCACATTTTGTGTTATTTCCTGTCAACCATATTTTCAAATCTAGTGATCATAGGGAGACCCTGTCAAGTTGGTCTGGTTGTTGACATAGTAATCACAAGATTACAAGTTCTACTCCTAGAAGGAGAAGCCTATGGCCTTCTTAGTTTGAGGCAATCAACTATGAACAACCTAGATAGGTTTACCTCCTTGTAGTCCTTTGCCGGCTAGGATACAAGCTGGAATTTAACCCGTGCACGCGGTTTCCCTAGTCACTCAATAAAAAATCTAGTGATTATAGGATCTAGAAGATGGATGGAAATTGATGAACCACAACCAGATTTGCACTCAAAAAGCTTAAAGTCAAACTCAATTGGAAAATAGAGAAACAAAAGTACCATTCTGTATGATTTTGAAAAATCATCCCCCCAATTTGTGCAACTTCTTTGAGTGCACACCTCCAGCCTTTGATCTTCTGAGCCCACTCTTCACCATCCTCACAGTTTTGAGCTACAAACCGCATCTCGTGTCGTTCAAAAGCTTTTGCAAAGCTCCCCATTTGCTTTCCAACATGGGATGGATCAACCTGGTAGAAAACAGGCAAAACAGCGTGCCCACTCCTCCGATTCTCCATTATCACCACAAGTTCATCCAAACACCAGGAAGAAGTAGCATAGTTTTCAGATAAAACAATGATTGAACTCTTGGCTCTATGGATCCCTTTAAGCAATTCCGACTGAATATTTTCTCCCCTCTCAATCTCATTGTCATCCCTAAATGTACGCAACCCGGCATCCACCAACGCCTTGTAAAGCTGATCGGTAAAAGTTCTTCGAGTGTCTTCGCCTCTGAAGCTCAAGAAAACATCGTAGATACACCGCCTACGGAAAGCAGCTGCTTCTTGAGCTAACACAGCGGCCATTTTACAAACACCTTGCCTGCAATTGAGATAACAACTGCTTTGCACCACAATTTGACAATCTTGATTAAGAAACTTCGATCCTCAATGAATTGAAGAGGGAAGTCACAAAAATATTCCCATAACAAACAGAATCTAACTACTTCGTAGTTATCTTTTGCAACTCTTAGTCATGGAGAAAAGAACAATGCTTTCCAGTAGTGCTTGAGCTAAGTTTCAACTTTTGGATTAAAGTTTAGCTCAACTATTCTCAATTACATTTCTAAATCATATGCCAAAATATCCACAATGAACAAAGGCGGTCCAGGTAACCACTCACTACAACCTGACTCGGGGCTCTCCTAATAAGAGTATGAACAGTGCAATTCGCAGATCTTTTAACTAACAAGAATAGATATCACCAAACGTACTAACTATTTCTTTTAACATCATCAATAATAAAATCTAAAGAAAAATGAAAAGATCACCCCATAAATTTTATATCCATAATTCACCTTACAACGTAGACTGGACTATGATTCACAAAGAAGATTGGAACATAATAATGCATTATTACGTATTTTTGAGTTTAGGCCCAGTTTGTATTGTCTTGGATTGGATTGGGCTTCTTGCATTTTTTTTTTTTTTTTTTTAAAAATTTGATTGATAGAGATAATAGGTTTCTTGAGATTATTATATGGTTTCGCAAATTATATCGTGCACTGCGGTGCATAATAGATTACGCAACGAGCTTTCAAACGATGTCATTTTATTTAATGAAAGGAAACGGCACCCGTTTCGCGCCGTTTCACAAAAAGTAATTCTGTTATTCAGTTTCATTTTGTATACACTACAGTTTAATTTCAACACAACTACAATTTTATTTCGATATAACTACAGTTTCATTCGATATTTATACACTTAAATATGTGAAAATATTATTTAATTTTATTTTACATACACTATAGTTTCATTAAAACACAACTACATTATCATTTCGGTATAACTACAGTTTCATTGCACAATATACACTCAAATATGTGAAATGTTATTCAGTTTCATTTTATATACACTACAGTTTCATTTCAACACAATTGCAGTTGCATTTCAATTCAATTGCAATTTCATTTGATAATATAAAAATAATACGTGAGGCCGTGTCAGTATAGATACACTGTAGTTTCAGTTGGTAATTAATACACCAAACATGTGTGTTATGTTAACTGTAACGGCACGCCGTTTCTTTACTTAAAGAAACGGCGCCGTTTTTAGACCGCGTGCTACAAAGCTTTGTGGATCGCGGTCCACAGTATAATTGCTGATGGTTAGACTGTAATTGTTGTTCACATAAAGTTCAAATATCAAATTGCCTATTTTACCCCCAAAAAGATTAAAAGTTAAAGGCTCTTTTATCATAGCTTATTTAAAGAACTTATATCTTATTTTAAGCTACTAATAAGTTATAAGCTCTGTTTGGTAAAAATGAGCTAGTAGTTTAAAATAATAACTTATTTTGAAACGCTACCTTAGATTTAAAAAATAAGCTAGTAGTTTTCTAACTTTTTTTCCATTTTTATCCTTATTATTTTAAATAAATGATCATCTTTTTTACTCTCTCTATTAAAACCCTTTTTGACATTTTCTCTTTCCCTATATTTTTATTCATCCTCTTCCGCAACTCTTCACCGCCCAACAACTCCTTAAAGTTTCAACTCCAATTGTCTTGTTCATAAGTCTATTAATCCTCTGGCGAAATATATATACAGCCTCTCTCCTCCACCGCTTTGCCACCGTCGCTGATTCCCATATGCACTTCATTATGGGATGCTAGATCATGATTATGCTAATAGTTTTATTTCAAAATTTTAAATTTTAATATGTAAACAAACCTATTTAAATTTTATGAAAATGTCTTTTTTAGTCTTTTTACCTTTATCAACTTATCAAAAACTAATTTTATCAAACACTTTTATGCATAATAAAACTAGCTTAATAGCTCTTCAATTTTCACCTTCTAGCTTATAGTTTTTCAGCTTTCAGCTACATTTTCAGCTAGGTTTGCCAAACATAGCAAAAAAAAAAAAAAAAAAAAAAAAAGATGTTTACTAAACAATCATTTTAGTTGCTAATAATGATATTGTGGTATAGTAGTACGAAGTTACTCTCTCAAAAGAAAAATAAGTATTGGCTCTTTGTGGATCAGTAGATTGAGAAAGTAGCTAAGTCAAATATCTAAAGTTTATGAAACAAATCAAAGTACTTTAACTAATAAGCCATTTCCAAAAACCTCATTTGTTTTTTGTTTCTATTTGTGTATATACATCCCAAGGTCAAGAAGATTCTAACAATCTCTTGACATAATTTTTTAATAAATTCAAATTCGGTTTTGCAAAATGCCAAGCATTAGACTGCAAAGGCTAGGTATAGATTAGACATGTGTGTACAAATGGCTCAACACCAATATTTATGAGCATATTAATGACACAACCAAATCAATCAATGGTCAATTAGTATAAGCTTATCTTATATATATCTTCCTGGCTATTTGGGGTCCTTTGTAAATTGACATCTAACTAAAACTAATTGTGGAAGAGCCCCACTTAACAAGATAATTACCACACCTCCTTCATCATACGCAACACCTTGCATCATGCATGCATCATTACTCCTCCTATTGAAGTGATATAGAATTTTTGGATTTTTAAAAAAACACAACAATTTAACATGAATTTCTAATTTGATTTTTTTTTTTTAAGAAATGAAAAATTAGGGGGAAAGAAAAAAATTTTATTTAAGAGCAAAATCGAGAGTTGGAGTCACATAATACATATTTGATTGGTACCTATGGAACTCCATATACTATGACGATGTTTGGTAAATAATTGTTAGTTGATTAAGTTAGTGAATTTGATTAGTTCATAGCATCAGCTAATTGAAGAAAAATATTTGATAAATTAGTTGTTAGCTGATAGTTGATTACATGTAAAATGACTTTCTCAAAAAGCTTATCGAAAAAGCTATTTTGAGCAATTTTTTGAATTTTAGCATTTTAAAGCAATAAGTTATTACAAAAAAAGTTAATTAAGCACTAGTTTTGATTGTTTAACCAAGTCAAACAATTAATAATAATTAAATAAATCAAAATGAACTGATAAGCTAAGTTACCAAACAACGTCTTTATCTGCATATCCATCACAATGCAATTGCACCGTTAACACCATTGTCCTTACTTGAGGTTGAATTGAACAAGAAGACAACAACGAAATCAAACGTTGATTTGGTATGTATACATTGTATATACAAATTTACATTAATATATTAATCTCTATTTGTTTATGATGTATTTGATTCTAGTTAATTATATTGTTGATGATAATATATACATAATAAATGTATAGTTCAACTATTAATTTATATTTTTAGTTGAAATAAAACACATTTTTTAATTTAATATCATAGCTAGAGACAAACATAGATAAAAGTTTATGAATTTGAACCTTCACACTACTCAATAAAAGAGACAATGTTTACGTGTTGTTTGACACTTTGACCCATCAAAAAGCATTTGTTGCGCACACGTTAGAGAACGTGTTGAGCATTACATATATAAAATGTAAACATTTAATCTAACTATTAGTTTAACATTTTAGTTGTGACAGATTGATATAATACATTTTTTAATTCAGTATTAGAGTTAAACCTAGACAATAAATCATGTGTTTGAATCTATGCAATTGCCCGATAAAGAAATTTGAGTTCACTTGTTGCTTAACCCATTAAAAAGTATTTGGCCCACACACGTGAATGAACTTGTTAAGACTATGTCAATGTGTTGTTTAGCCCGTCAAAAAAGCAATTAGCCCACACGTGCGAGTGTATCGGATGTGATGAACATATAATCTATAAAATATAAAATGCGGGCACAATTCAATTATCAATTTAGTCGTGATATAATTATATTTTTCAAACATTTAAATTATTAATTTCGTTTTCATGTTTCTCAACTCTACTTCCTTTTAATTAAGCTAGTGCACTTGTGTTAGAGTAATACATCATTGGGATGTGATACGTTATTTATCCTGAAAGCTTATTTCAATTGATTACATGCAGAAGAATACTAATTTGGATTTTTATGCATTTAAGCAATATCGTGACGAAGGCGCAAGGGGAGGAATACTCCGATCCATTTGACACGCAAACGCGGATTGATTTGTACGTGTGGCCTTTAACTTTAACTTCATTATTATGGATTAATTATCATTATTATTTATTAATACACATTTCTACACTCTTCATATACTCAATTGTTAAATCAAAATTGTTACATACCCCAATAAGTTTAAGTATTTCATTAACCCCCACTCCACCCCACCCCCCCCCCCCCCTAAAAGAAACACATATTCTTAATATTTATCAATCACATTACCTGTCTAAAAGTTTCTTAACTTGGTCACTTTCCCGCATTTACATATAATGGGGTTGAAATCCATTGACCTTAATGATGACTCATCCTTGATATGTGTAAGAGACGAAATTTCTTTTTTAAATTTCATTTCTGGCCGGTGTTGATGGAAGCTCTCCTTCAAGATGTTTGTTTTGTCGGTAGGTAATATGTTAGAAGCAGAGAAGAAATTAAGGCTTTTATCATACATTAGACCTTTTAACGAAATCAAACCGTGTAAAGGTTAAGAATCAAAGGTGAAATTTCAATAATGTTTCCATTCACAATCAAGCGGGGCTAATCTTAAAAAAATAGGAGTCATGTTTAATAGTTGAATTTGGTTCCATTTTAAAATTTTTATTTTTATTAAATAAATCTAAATATAAAATAAAAACTTAATATTTATTAAATAAATTTTGTGAAAATATAATACATAAAATATTCAACTAAGAAAAATAAAATTCAAAATTTAACATAAAAGTAACATTCTTCATGCACATTTAAATACAAAATTATTCAACAAATTTTTGATATTAGTTTCTTTCAAAGTTTCATATTTTCAATTGCAATTAAAATTAAACTAATACATGAACATTAGTAAAATAAATACTAAGTATAAAAATAATATGTTATATACATTTAAAAAAAAAAAATTGGGTGGCATCATCTTGACCTGCAAATTATGCTGTGCAACCGAATGCACCTTGCAAGGTGCATACGGTTGCAAAACGGCGCCGTTTTGGTTAAAAAAAACGCGCGTTCCACTTAAAGAAGAAATCAGGTTCAATTCCCGGCAATAGCATTTTTATATATCCAGAAATTCATAACTATATATCCACAAATTCATAACTATATATCCACAGTGAATGAATGAAGTAAAAATCCACAATGAATGAATGAATGAA